AAAACAAAAGAAGGAAGGTATGTAGAAGAGGATAAAAGTCTAGCTGACTGCCTCAATGAATATTTTTGTTCTGTATTTACAGATGAAAATGAAGGAAAAGGACCTCAGTTGAGAAAAAGGATAAATGAGTCATTTATTACACGTGAGTTTACAGAGGAAGGGGTTCTATTTCAACTGTCAAAAGTAAAGACAAATAAGTCAATGGGACCTGATGGAATACACCCAAAGCTATTAAAAGAGCTTAGTGGTGTACTAGCAAAAACATTAACAGATTTATTTAACCAATCATTGTTAACAGGAGTAGTCCCAGAAGATTGGAAGTTAGCGAATGTTGTGCCCATTTACAAGAAAGGTAATAGGGAGGAGTCGGGCAACTATAGGCCAGTAAGCCTTGCTTCAGTAGTGGGGAAAGTGATGGAAACCATGTTAAAGGATAGGATTGATGAACATCTAAAACACATGGATTTCAAGATCAGAAACAACATGGGTTTACTTCAGGGAGATCATGCCAAACTAATCTTATTGATTTTTTTGATTGGGTAACTAAGATTATAGATCAGGGTGGTGCAGTAGACATTGCTTACCTAGATTTCAGTAAGGCTTTTGACACTGTTGCACATAGAAGGCTTATCAATAAACTGCAATCTTTAAGTTTGAATTCAAATATTGTTGAATGGGTAAGGCAGTGGCTGAGTGACAGGCAACAGAGGGTTGTAGTTAATGGAATATATTGAAGCTTGGACTTGTCACCAGTGGGGTACCTCAGGGATCTGTACTTGGACCCATTCTCTTTAATATTTTTATTAGTGATATTGCAGAAGGTCTTGATGGTAAGGTATGTCTTTTTGCTGATGATACTAAGATATGTAACAGGGTTGATTTTCCAGGAGGGATAAGCCAAATGACAAATGATTTAGGTAAACTAGAAAAATGGTCAGAATTGTGGCAACTGACATTTAATGTGGATAAGTGCAAGATAATGCATCTTGGACGTAAAAACCCAAGGCAGAGTACAGAATATTTGATAGAGTCCTAACCTCAACATATGAGGAAAGGGATTTAGGGGTGATTATTTCTGATGACTTAAAGGTAGGCAGACAATGTAATAGAGCAGCAGGAAATGCTAGCAGAATGCTTGGTTGTATAGGGAGAGGTATTAGCAGTAGAAAGAGGGAAGTGCTCATGCCATTGTACAGAACACTGGTGAGACCTCACTTGGAGTATTGTACACAGTACTGGAGACCGTATCTTCAGAAGGATATTGATACCTTAGAGAGGGTTCAGAGAAGGGCTACTAAACTGGTTCATGGATTGCGGGATAAAACTTACCAGGAAAGGTTAAAGGATCTTAACATGTATAGCTTGGAGGAAAGACGAGACAGGGGGGATATGATAGAAACATTTAAATACATAAAGGGAATCAACACAGTAAAGGAGGAGACTATATTTAAAAGAAGAAAAACTACCACAACAAGAGGACATAGTCTTAAATTAGAGGGACAAAGGTTTAAAAATAATATCAGGAAGTATTACTTTACTGAGAGGGTAGTGGATGCATGGAATAGCCTTCCAGCTGAAGTGGTAGAGGTTAACACAGTAAAGGAGTTTAAGCATGCGTGGGATAGGCATAAGGCTATCCTAACTATAAGATAAGGCCAGGGACTAATGAAAGTATTTAGAAAATTGGGCAGACTAGATGGGCCGAATGGTTCTTATCTGCCGTCACATTCTATGTTTCTATGTTTCTATGAGACAACCGGTCTCACTCCCCAGCGGCAGATTGTGTTCTAGGGAGGTGTCACTCCCTAGCAGCAGTGTGATTTATTGAGAGTGGAGACAGTCAGTCTCACTCCCCAGTAACAGAGTATGCTCCAGGGAGGGGAGATAATCCGTGTCACTCCCCAGCGGTAGTGCCTGTTATCAGGAGACATCAGGGTTGACGGGCGTGGAACTGCTAAAATGAAGAATGGTGTAGGAGACTACAAGGTTAACTGGGTGTTTTTGGACAAGCTTCTCGACTAACTTAGGTACAGACTGACAGGAAGTCTGGCACCTGGTTAGTCTTCCCTTGGAGGGCTGGAGGGATATGTGGCAAACGTGCCTATGTCTGCTAGCTAGCCTCCTGCCCAAGGACTATGGGCCATATACAAAGACCCTGTTCGGGAGTTAATCCTCCCCAGCCATCATTAGTAGCTTGCCCTGGATGCCCAGGTTCGGCACTTTCCCTTCATGTCAATGGAACCAAATGCTGGCTCTCTGGCGGCCGTTAGCATAAACAAAACCCACGAATAGTACTCAGCGGTACTTAGTCGCAATCGCTATGGAACTAATTTCAGCATGAAGACTTTGTGGGTTCCTGATCACCTCAGCGGGACTTAGCCGCAAATGTTATGGAACTATTTTCAGCATTAAGTGACCATGCAGTTCCTGGACACCTTGGTTTGCGGTTTTGAACCACTTTTTGGAGGAAGGTGCCTGAGACTAGGAGCTCCCGAAAGTCGACTGGCCAAACCACTAAATGCCCTGAAAGTGTTTTAGGCATGTGCGGCCGGTCAGATCATTAACACGGTAACATTTCCCCTACGTGGATCATGGATCTAAGCGCTATTTGGAGAACTTGGGTGCTCAGATCAGGGCTATTTGGGGACATATTATTGTGGGGTTATTATATATTTTTATGATGTTTTGGGGTATTTTTATGTTTGTTTGCCTCTCTGTTCCTGCCTTTCTGTTCCTGGGAGATAATTAGCTTACCGGTCTTTAATACAATTATCTCCGAGGCACAAATATTTATGGGAGGGGCTTGTCTTGCATTGAATGGAGACAGCATGCTGGCGGCTGTGTATAAAAGCAGGCAACTTGGCCATAATGAACCAGTTCCTTTACACCCTTCACTCAGTCTGGGCTAGTATTTGGGTAGATCCACTGTACTCTCTGCAGAAGAGCTTAATCACTTGAAGCCATACCCAGGACCCTGTTCCAGGGTGGGAAGCAACAGAGAGACCCCAGCCAAACTGCAGACCAGGAACACACACACACATATATATATATATATATATATATATATATATATATATATATATATAGAGGCAATTAGCTATACCTTGATGCGAAAGGGTAAATCCCAAAAGAGTATAGATGACAGCAGTATAATCAGCAGGGGGATGATCAAGACAACTAAAGTTCCTCACCATCTGTGTATACGTATTCAGCTTGGTCCATGAGCGACACTTTTAAGGCAAAATAGGCAGTCCACCAAGCCGAAGAAAGTGTGCAGCAGTGAGAAATTCAAATCCTGACCGTGGCAAAGCAGTTTCATGGTTTAGGTGATATTAGCCAAATTGTGTAGCAGTGCAATTTGTTCTTTTTGGCAACTGTGTATACACTTATGAGCACAGTTGTTCATAAAAAAATATTATTATTTTTTTTTTTGCTTTTTGACTATTTTATTTTAACATTATGTTATAGTTGTGTATGAATAACTTATATTTAGTTTTATTCAGCTACTCCTTGGTTTCCAGCTATTTTATATTATGCCATATTGTATATACTGTAGACTGGGCGTATACACAATACACATTGTGAATATACATATTTATATAAATACACACTGATCAGTCACACCCATAAAACCACCTGTCCTATATTGTATAGGTCCCACTCGTGCTGCTAAAACAGCTCTGATGCATTGAGGCATTGACTCCACAAAACCTCTGAAAGAGTCCTCTGGTTTCCAGCACCAAGATATTAGCAGCAGATCCTTTATGTCCTGCAAGTTTCGAGGTGGGACCTCCATAGATCGGATTTGTTGTTCCAGCACATCTCACAAAAGCACAATCTGAACAAGATCTGGGGAACATGGAGGTCAAGAAAACACTTGAACACTTTTTGTCATGTTCCTTAAACCATTCCTGAACAATTTTTGCAGTGTAGTAGGGTATATTATCCATTTGAAAAAGGCCGGTCTGCAATAATCTTTAGGTAGGTGGTACGTGCCAAAGTAACATCCACATACATGCCAGGATCCAAAGTTTTCCAGCAGAACATTATCCAGAGGATAACACTGACTCTGCTGGTGGC